CAACAGCTGAAACACATACAACAGCTGAAACACATACAACAGCTGAAACACATACAACAGCTGAAACACATACAACAGCTGAAACAGTTAAAACAGCTGAAACATTTAAAACAGCTTTAACACCTAAAACAGCTGAAAAATTTAAAACAGCTGAAACATTTAAAACAGCTGAAACAGTTAAAACAGCTTTAACACCTAAAACAGCTGAAACATTTAAAACAGCTTTAACATTTAAAACAGCTGAAACATTTAAAACAGCTTTAACACCTAAAACAGCTGAAACATTTAAAACAGCTGAAACACTTAAAACAGCTGAAACACTTAAAACAGCTGAAACACTTAAAACAGCTCAACCACCTAAAACAGCTGAAACACTTAAAACAGCTCAAACATTTAAAACAGCTTTAACACCTAAAACAGCTGAAACACTTAAAACAGCTGAAACACTTAAAACAGCTGAAACACTTAAAACAGGTGAAACACCTACAACAGCTGAAACACTTAAAACAGGTGAAACACCTAAAACAGCTGAAACATTTAAAACAGGTGAAACACCTACAACAGCTGAAACACTTAAAACAGCTGAAACACTTAAAACAGCTGAAACATTTAAAACAGCTGAAACACTTAAAACAGCTGAAACACTTAAAACAGCTCAAACACCTAAAACAGCTGAAACACTTAAAACAGCTGAAACACTTAAAACAGCTGAAACACTTAAAACAGGTGAAACACCTAAAACAGCTGAAACACCTAAAACAGCTGAAACACCTAAAACAGCTGAAACATTTAAAACAGCTGAAACATTTAAAACAGCTGAAACATTTAAAACAGCTTTAACACCTAAAACAGCNTAGTCGGCACCAAAGCCCTGGTCTGTGGGCACGACTCGGGCCATCACAAATTCGTTCATGGTCAGAGAGGCGATGGCAGCCAGTAGCCAACAGTCACCTGCAGGACAGGAAGTAGAATTACACCTGGACCTGAACCCTGCAGGTCTCACAGGCCGACCAGAACCCACAGCTGGAACACTTCAAGAAGAAGAATGACAGACACATCACACAGGTCACAGATCACAGGTCACACAGGACACACATCACGCAGGTCACACACATCACACAGGTCATACAGGTACAGGTCATAGACATGACACAGGTCACACACATAAAACAGGTCACAGGTCACCCAGATCATACAGGTCACAGGTCATACATGACAGAGGTCATACAGGTCACACAAGTCATTGGTCACACAGGTCACACAAGTCACAGGTCACACAGGTCACACATGACACAGGTCACACATGACACAGGTCACACTGGTTACATATGTCACACAGGTCACAGGTCACAGTTCACACATAACACGTCACACAGGTCACACAGGTTACAAATGTCACACAGGTCACAGTTCACACATGACACATGTCACACAGGTTACATATGTCACACAGGTCACAGGTCACACAGGTCACAGATCACACATGACACAGGTCACACAGGTTACATATGTCACACAGGTCACAGGTCACAGTTCACACATGACACGTCATACAGGTCACACAGGTTACATATGTCACACAGGTCACACATGACACAGGTCACACAGGTTACATATGTCACACAGGTCACAGGTCACAGTTCACACATGACATGTCATACAGGTCACACTGGTTACATATGTCACACAGGTCACAGGTCACAGTTCACACATGACATGTCATACAGGTCACACAGGTTACATATGTCACACAGGTCACAGGTCACAGTTCACACATGACATGTCATACAGGTCACACTGGTTACATATGTCACACAGGTCACAGGTCACAGTTCACACATGACATGTCATACAGGTCACACAGGTTACATATGTCACACAGGTCACACAGGTTACATATGTCACACAGGTCACAGGTCACAGGTCACAGTTCACACATGACATGTCACACAGGTCACACAGGTTACATATGTCACACAGGTCACAGGTCACACATGACATGTCATACAGGTCACACTGGTTACATATGTCACACAGGTCACAGGTCACACATGACACAGGTCACACAGGTTACATATGTCACACAGGTCACAGGTCACAGGTCACAGTTCACACATGACATGTCACACAGGTCACACAGGTTACATATGTCACACAGGTCACAGGTCACACATGACATGTCATACAGGTCACACTGGTTA